ACACACACACACACACACACACAGACACACGCACACACACACACAGACACACACACACACACACAGACACACACAACTCCATCCTGGCAGCCTCTGGACAGACCGCAGAGCCTGTTCCCTGTGCTCTGGCTCTATTCCAGTTTTCTGAGGAAGCTCTGTCCTATTTTTTAAAAAATATGACTACTGATTTTCATTTCCTTGTATGAGGGCTCTCTTTTTGCACATCATTGCCACGTTTATCTTTCTAATTTTTCTTTCAACAATAGCTATTCTAGTAGGTGTGAGGTGCTAGCTCACTGAGGTCTAGGGGGCATTTCCCTGCTGCTTAGAGATGCAGGGTCCTTTTCAGGTAGCCATTGGCCGTTCGCACTTCCCTCTGAGTCAGATGTTGGGCTCCCCCGGTTGGGTTGTTTTATTGCTGTGGAGTTGCGTGCCTGGGCCGTCTCAGGTGTGTGGTTTGCAGATATTTCCCCCAATCCATGGGCTGTCTCTCCGTCCCGCCTGTCTTTCCTTGCCGTGCGCCGCCGGCCCCTTTCCCTTCAGTGCCGCGTGCGGAGCCCTGTCTGAGACGCTGCTGCCCAGGCCAGTGTTGGGAGCTTCCCGTTTCCCTCCTCTAGCTTTACATTTTCAGGTCAGACTTTAAAACACTTTTAGTCGATTGGAGTTGATTTGTGTGTTATGAGTTAGGGTTCAATTTTATTGAAAAGTATCTTTCTTAAAATTCTGTCTTCTTGTTGACTAGTGCTGGCTAGAGAAGCACTTGCGAGTTTTGTCAGTTTGGCAGTGCCCCCCTGTTTTGGGCACTGCCAGTTTTTGTCACTAGACTGGCCGCCCGAGGCTGTCCTGTGCTGGGCCTTCACAAACCGCCTCCCGACCCTGAGCGAAAGGGTCGGGATGAGAGTATGTTCGAGGGAGCTGTCTACACCAGGAAGGACGCCTCTGGGCCAGGGAGAATGGAATCCACGTTACCGAGTGCACTCACACTGGAGTCTGAGGCGAAAGCCACCGAGCTGACTGACCTTTCGAGCAACGAGAGGGTGGGAGGTCTGCTCGGCGGGAAGGGGCGGGGTGGGAGGCGACTCGGACAGGCCTCGTTTGGGTTTAACCTGCTCAATCAGTCATCCGTACCGCCAGTCCCAAAGGGGTGATCCCACGTGGGTTTTCCACATGGCAATGTCCTTCCACCTTCAGGCCCTTGGTTCACCCAGGGCGGCCTGGTGCAGTCTCGGGCAGGTGCTCGCGTTTACTCTCCTTGGTGTAGGGACACAGTTGTCCCTGGTCATGTATGAGACATGGGGTCCCCGCTGGGTGCTCCACCTCAGCTCAGTGAAGCTTTGTGGGTGAGGTTTTCCAGCCGTGCACGTAGCATTTCCCCAAATAGAGAGCGCCCACGTAGGAGCCGTGTCTGGTATTCACCATGGAGACCAGAAGTGCCACGGGGCAGGACCCTCGCCTGCTCTGGCTGCTGCTGTGCCTGCTGTCGTCCTCAGCACCGAGCAGGCGGCCCTGGCATACAGCTGGTGCTTTGAACGCCCGAGCGAGGGAATGGGCGAGTGCATGGGTCCGTGAGCGAGATCAGTGAGCACCTTGGCGTGACTCAGACAAGGACCCTTAGCCACGCTCTGTCCTGCAGTGACCTCCACAGTCTGAGGGCACATCGCCGACTCCTGCCCACCCAGGGCCCCTCCTCCAGGGCAGTCCCTTGCAGGAGGGCAGACTCCTCCAGGCCTCTTGGCTGGCAAAGGTGAGAACACACAACAACCCTGATTTTGGGGATGCCCCAAGTTGCCCAGAAATGCTGGACAGCACTCCTCTCCACCTCCCTCCAGTGAGTCAGTCCAGCCGAGGCCTTCACAGCCCAGCTGTCGGCTGCCAGGCCAGGCAGGAGGAAGCCCGTGGGGAGCAGCCATTTAGTTAGCAGAAAGGCTCCTGGAAGGAAAATGACATTAAATCACAGCAGGGAAACAATGAGGGATGAGTGTGTCCTGGCAAGAGAGGGGCTGATGCTGGGGGAAGAGTGCGATGGCTGTGGGCACAGGTGCACCACCAACTTGGGGAGAGCCGAGGACACCGTGACCCCGGGGATGGCCTCTGGGCTATGGGAGCGCTCACTGCTAACATTGGAACCCAAATAAGAAACTTGCAGCTAATCTCTGCCCATCTGTCCATCCATGTAAACACCACCCACCCATCTACACACGCAGTCCCCATTTACCCATCTACTCAGTTATATAGTCACCTACTCAACTATCTACCTGTCCACCCGTCCATCCATCTACTCAGTTACACAACCATCCACTCAACCACCCACCTGTCCACCCGTCCATCCATCTACTCCGTTACACAACCATCCACTCAACCACCCACCTGTCCACCCGTTCACTCATCCACCCATTCATTCGTCCACCTATCTGTCTATCCATGTATCCATCCACCTACCCACTACCTTCCTGTCTTCTCTCCATCCACATGTCCACCCACCCTTCTCCCCATTCTGTCACCTGTCCATCCACCCATCCACTGATTCCTACATTGTCTGCTCATCTCTCTGGTTTGCGCTCTTCAGAAACAGACCCAGTGAGATGAAGATTTAAACGCAAGTAATTCAGCAGAGATACGACTGGAGAGCCAGGAGTGGAGTGGAGAGGTGGCACAAGAAGGGAAGGTGCTCATGGGGTACCTGGCAATGCCAGTTCAGTGATGGGAACCAGGACTCCAACCCACCGGGGAACTCTGAGAGACGGTATAGAAGCAGCTCAGAGTCATCCTGACCGAGGGATAGGACCGGGGTTTACCTACTCACTCCCCAACGCTAGTGGACTCAGGGCGGTTTTCAGGGCTTTGAACCTTTGGCACTTCCAGCTCAGCCTGCCTTTGGGTGATGATTCAGAAAAACACGCCCAGGCAGAGCCACAGGTGGTTCTGCAGCTGGTAGCCTTTGGGGGTGGAGGTAGCCTTTGGGGGGTGGAGGTCAACGCTGAGAAGCAGGTGGTGCATGACGGTGTCTGCTACATGATCCGCTCACTCACAAGCCGCTGTGCCCTCAGCTCCACCCAGCCAGCCGCATGCCACCCGTGAGCTCACCTGTCTGCTCCCGCTCGCAGTGGCTGCTGTGTCGGTAAGACCGTATCTGGGTGTGTCTGTGAGCATGTTTCCAGAAGGGACTGAACTGGATCTGGCATCTGAACTGGAGACTGGGTTAAGGAGACCTGTGCTCATCGACGTGAGTGGCATCTGAGTCATCCAATCGGGCTCAGATAGAGCAAGGTGGGGGCGGGCTGAGGGAATCCTCTCTCCTCCTGAGCTGGGACATCGTCTTCTGTCCTTGGCCATCAGAGCCATTCAGACCAGCACTGAATCGGCACCAGCTTCCGGGTCTCCAGCTTGTGGCTGGCGTGTCAGGAAACTGCTCAGCCTCCAGGGTCACAGGAGCAGTCTCATAATCCTCCTCGCCTATGTCCGGCAGCTCCTGTCAGATCTGTTTCTTTGGAGGGTCCAGGCCAGTGTGCCCGCCTCCTCTCCGCCTTCTTTCCTCCCCTTTCCCGTCTAGACATCGTTTCTTCATCTGAACGTCTCAGAGCAGCTGTTTTGGTCCCACAATATCTAAGGACCAAAACCCACAATAAACTAAAAAAAAAAACCAAAATAAAAACCCCGAAGCCTGTCTCAAGGGAGGGGCATTTACTCCATGCTCCCAAGGCAGCCCCCAGAGAAGAGCTTCATGGTGTGCGGGACCGAAAACCCAGGCTCTGATGGCAACGCGGGTCCAGTCGGACTGGCCGCGCCCTCGACTTCTTAGCCTATGAGCAACGCCAGGCACACAGGTTATGCCAGAACTGTCACTCGGGCCCAGGAGCTATCTTCTGGCACTTTCTATCTCCAGATCTGTTTTAAACGCAGGGATCTCTGTAGGGGTCCTGGTGTTCAGGAGTATGAGCTGTGGGCCGGACCCTCGGCACAGCTGCTAAGCCCTGTGCAGAGGAAGCTGGGTCCCACATGGCCAACCAGAGATAGAGCTCAAGCCTCGATGGCTTTAAAAACACACGGGGCACAGGTGCATGTGCCCAGCACCCCGAGAAGATGAAGAATTGCTGGAAAAGGACTGCAGCGTGACCTGCTCCCATGGGTGGTGTTCTCTCTCTCTCTCTATCTTTTTCTCTCTCCCTCTCATGTTCTCTGCCATGAAAAAAGACTACGGGCTTGGAAACGTGATTTCCTGTATTTTAACGTAGATTTGCCATTCCTAGTGGTGGGGCCTTGAGCGTGTGACTCAGTTTACTCCCCGGCCAGAGCGGGAGCCATCACGTGCTGCAGTGAGACGCCCCTGGGAGCACTCGGCACAGGACGGTGCCTAGGCGGTGATGGTGACAGAGACTGTGGTAGTGGAGGGTGCCGAGGGAGGGCTGGGGAAGGGCACATTCTCCCTTTGTGTCTCCTTCCCCTTCCTGAATACTGACCCTGCTCACCCTTCCACTGGGCACCTGCCACCCTGGGCAATGCAGTGGGGCACTGTGTGAGGCTGACACCCTGCCCTGATATCGAACTGGTGAGACAGACAATGCAAAATAATTGCAGGTCGAGACACGTGCTCTGCAGGAAACAAACAGGCAATGTGGATGGGGCAGGTCTGTCTCTACAGGGTAGAGCAGGCGTGTGGGGGATCAGGACTGAGCTCTCTGGAGATGTCTAGGGAGTGGCATGTGCAAAGACCCTGGGGCAGGAAGGTGCTCTACCCACAAGGAGCTGGCGAGGGTCTGCCGGGCAGTGAGTGCACAGGTAAAGTGAGAGTGTTGGACGGGTCCTCCCAGGCCCCACGTGGCCCCAGAGAGGTCCCCCTCTCCATCTCTCTGCGAGGAGCCATTTTCTCCCTGGGAGTCTGACTCAAAGGTTTCCTAAAACACTGCTAACATTCATCACAGGGAAACCATCAGCTGCCAGTTCAGGAAGATGGAACAGCTTGCCAGTTATCGACTGGGATGATTAAATCACAGCTTACGCCATCCGCTCAGAGCCGGGCGTGCTGCTTCTCTGCGGGATTGCCGGCTGCGGCGCAGAGAGGGAAGTGGGTTGTCCCCTGGGGAGAGTAGGGAAACCAAAACTCCTCACCAGGGAGAAGTCGAAGAATCTCAAGAAGCCAGCGGTCTCCAGGCCTGAGCCGACTCCCTCACCTGTGGAGGACACGGCCTGCGCTCAGATCAGGCTTGCCCTGCCCACCGTGGGCGTCTGAGGGCAGCGTGACTCCTGTGCTGGGGGCCCCATGGCTGCCAGGGCTGGCAGCTCCCGAGAGACCTGGGAGTCCAGGTCACAGGCTTCCTGCAGGTGCTCTCCTTGCCTCTCCTTTTAAGAACTTGCCCGAGTGCACGGGTTTTCCACAGAGGAGCAGGCAGACAGAGAGGGAAGTGAGAGCGCAGCTCCTGTGGGGGATGGCTGCGCTGCTCCTTCTCGGGATCGCGGGACTTGGGGCATGCACACACGCCTGGTGTATTTTTTTTTTCTTTTTTTCTTTTTTTTTTTTGGAGAGATTTTCACTGTAGGGCGCGTGTGCTCGCCAGACAGACAGAGAGAGACATAGAGACAGAAAGCGAGAAATCACCCCCCAGGGGGGATGGTCACGCCGCAATCCCTTCTCCTCCATTCTCCTCTCGGGATCTTGGGCACGCACGCACACGCGCCCGGCGTGAGTTTTAAGCCACCGGGTCCGGGACACGAACCGCGGTCGACTACGTGGGAGTCCAGCGACATAGCCATTACGCTAACTGCTGGTTCCCACGCCTGGTGTATTTTTCAAATCAATGGGGCCAGGACTTGAACCGTGCAGCCAGCCGTGTGGGATTCAGCTGCCTTAACCACCAGGCCACGGGCTGCCCGCTGGTCTCCTTTCATACTCTAAGGGCTCCACAAGGCACGTGCTAACCTGTTTTACAGATGCAGAAGCTGAGGCTCAGAAAAATGCAAAAGCCAAGATGCAAACACTGACCCCGCCAGCATCAGCTGCAGGTTCCGACTTCTCTGTGATTCTGTCCTGAGTTCCAAACCACAGGCTCCCTGGCCTCTGGGGGGGCTTCGTGCTGAGTCAGCCTGTACCGGCCCCATTACGGGTTATTTATCGGCCCTGCCAACTTCTGTGCATCTCTGGGAGCAAGTCTGCTGACAAGTAGGCCAGAGTCTGGTGGAACACACTATGTGTGGGTAGGAGGTTAGGAATGGCTTGATCAAGCCTCCAGGGGCAGCCTCCCCACCCTCCTTTCACACCTCCTCTGACCCTCCCATTGGTGTCCTGATAGGACACTCCTCAGTCTTTATTTTTAAGACAGGGTCTTGTTACAGCGTGACCCTCCTGCCTCAGTGTCCTCGGGCGTGCACCTCCACACCAGCGTTTAGTTCGGGCTGGGAATGGTGCCACGTGGCCTCAGCATCCACTAATGCGTGCTACCATGGCTGGACCACAACGTCCACCTTTTAATTTTCAGTACCACTCAGGCGCGCGGATATTGTGGTGCATACGACCAGGACACGGAGTTCTGCTGTATTTTAACCAGCCGTCTCCCACTTCCTGGATTTATGACTTTAGCGAAGTGACTTCACTCTCTGAGCCTTGGTTTCTGATCTGTAAAGCTGGGCTGGCACCAATCCTGGGGCTGTGAAGAGGTGGCACTGTTTGCCCAGGGCGTGGAGGGCATGAGTCCCACTACCTGGAAGCTGCCTGACTGTTCTCAGCCCTGGCCCTGCCAGGGACACGGTAGGCTGCTGCTGTGACCGTCCCTGCATGAATGAGAACAGAGGCCTTTCCCACTGGACCACCCCTCAGCCCCTCGGGACAGGCTACGGAATCGGGGGCAGCTCAAGTGAAACCTCGGGGGCCTTGTTCAAAGTTACTGAGACTTTCAAGGCAGCCCTTGAGCAGCAGAGAGACAGTCAACCCACACCCTTCCTGCCAGAGTCCTCCTAGCCCTGGCTGGCCAGAACCCCAGGCTGGGAGTGGCAGGGGACCCTCAGACATGACCTAGGCCCCTCTCGTGTGGCATGGCCCCGTGGGACCCTGTGTTACCACCCGCCACCGGGCTGGCTGGCTGCTCCAGTGCTTTGACCGCGGCTCCGTCTCTGCTTCCCGTTCTGCATGACCCTCACGGGTCACGTCGCTGCCCTGCGTGCGGGTGGTGAGTGGCATCCAGCTCTCTGGTTTGCAGGGACCAGGGCTGGCCAGCTCTGCTCACTGATGGAGGTACGTGGAACTGCAGGGCAGCAGGATGTGGTGGGGAAAGAGATGACTCATGCCGTGCGGCCTGGCGCCCTGTGCATGCTTTGCCGATTCACTTTGCCTAGGGGCTCAGCACCCCCTCACCTCCCATTGACAGGTGGAGAAACTGAGGCTGAAGAGGTGAAACGACTGTGCCAGTGGGTGGTGGCCAGCTGCCCTCGATCTCCAGGTCGCTCGTCGATCCTCCGTCTCTGAACCTGGCGGGTCACCCCATTTCGCAGCTGTGCAAAGTAGGGCTTGTCGCTTTGTAAGACCTGCTTCCCCTCGACCTGAATCTGACAGCTCCTGAAGTTCTCCTAGCTATGGCCTTCCTCCTCCAGAGAAGGCTCCACCTGGAAGTCCCGAGGGTGGCAGGACGGGGAGGAGAAACTGAGAGGAGGTGACAGGTCCTTCGCATTTTATTCGCTGTGGGCCATTCGACTGTCTCCTTGTATAAGCTGGTTGCAGTCCCGTTTTCTGGCCGTGCACTGTGGCGTGCACAGAGCCACCTCCCTGGGTTTGGAGCGTCCGCTAAGTGTTAATTAATGTTCACGTCTGCCTATAAAGTCCTGTTTGAGAGAGCCTGGGTGTTCGTCAAATAAATGGCAATATAAAATTGAAAACAGCTAGCGCTCCTAAATCAATTTCCACGTCTTACAACGTTGAAGCATAATTCATTTCTTCCTCCCAAGCTCACGTGGCATGGGGATGGGCGCACACTTGCTGTGTAATTTCACGGAGAGCCAATCAGTGCCTAATCTGCTGCACCTTCACGTCTCCCCGCCCCTCGAAGCCCTTAAACAAAAGCAAGAAGTGCCATGTCTCCCCCTCCAGCCACATGGGCCCAGAGAGAGCAGGGAGAGTGCAACTCGTCTCACGGAGTGTGAACCGAGCGTTGCAGGGCAAGGAACATGCCTGAGCCGCCAGGGATCAGAACAGGACACAGATCTAAACTGAGGTGTGACATGCACCACTCAAAGCACCTGCACACATACATGTGTCTTCCAGGCCCCACAGTGCCTCACGCGCCTGCCAGGCTGTACCTTCTGCTGAGGGAACCCCTGTCCTGCCTTCTTTCACCATAGATTAGATTTTCATGTTCTTTAACTTTATGTAAGTTAAGCCAGCTAGTACAAGACCTTTTACCCATCATTAAGATTCTGTGGTTCGCCATGGTCCCAGCCTCAGTAGGAGGCTTCTTTTTCACCGCTGCGTAGTATTCCACTGTGTGACTGCCTTGTGGACTGACATCCTGTTGCAGAGGGCATTTGAGTTTCCAAGTTCTGGGCTGTTATGAATCGTGTGCTCTCAGCACCAGGAGAGGTTTGTCTTCCTGGTATTAAAAGTCACTCCCCCCCCACCATGGACCTGAACATCTCACATGCACGCACACACATGCACACACACACGCACACACATGGTACACACACATATGCACACACGCAAGTCCTTACGAACACACCCTCACTTGTGTGCTTGCCATGTTAGTTTTGGCCAAACCAGGAGCCCAGAGCACAAACCTCCCGGGGGCCCACCTGGGTCCTTGAAGAAGTGAATCCATCACTTCTCACCCTCAGCTCGTCTGAAGTCGGCGAGGTCCCGGGAGACTTCGTTCCGCCCTTTATTCTGCGTTAACTGCTAGACCTAATTAAACAGCACCGTCTCCTCCGAGTGGCTGATTTTCTTCCCGTCTGAATACAAATTAAACTCCCATGCCGTTAGCATTCAGGTCAGTTTATCAGAATCAACTGCTTTGAAAACTCAAAGGCCAAAGTGATTTCAAAGTCGGCCACACGCTCCCGTCCGTGGGGAGCCTGCTCTGCTCTGGAGCAGCTGCCGGGAGGAGGGGCCGCGCTGAGTGGATGGCGGGCGGCTGTGCTCTGAAGTCCACGCAGTTGCCGCCCGCTTGCTGGTTCCCTGGCTCCCCGCCGAGTGGAGATGAGAAACGCTCCCACCTTCCTTGATCCAGTCGCCTCCCTGAGCAGATATTGACCCAGGGCCTCTGTGGCCAGGGGCCGTGCACGGAGGACGCGAGACGCACTGCGCTGGGCATCTGCCCTCCTGGTGGGGTGACAGGTCTGAGACAGAGCACTTGGACACGGATCAGCTGGCGCCCCCGCGGACACAGGCGCCGGGGACACGCCAGGTGCTGTGGCGGGATCAGGCAGGCCCTAGTTTAGGTGGGGCTGCAGGAATCGCCATGTGGCGTGGCCCAGTCCTTCCCTGCCTCTGTGGAGCCGGAAGCCGATCACAGTCGCTTCCAGAGATGCAGGCGAGCTTCTCCCCAGGGCCAATGTTGGAGCTTGGGGTTGACTGTCTGTCACCCATGCCCAGGCCTTCTGTCCTCGTGTCGGGGGGACAGCAGGCACCCACCGTCCTCCATGGGGTCTCTGCCTGGCACCGCTGCAGGGAGGAGGCGATCCAGGACTCAGAGCAGAGTCGCCCTTCCCAGGGCCCTGGCTGATCCCTGGGTGTTTCTCCAGGGTAGAAAATTCTCCTCCCTCCCGGGAGGGGTGCCATGCACAACAGTTCCCAGGGCTATGCTGTCCCCTGTGGCACAGACCGCCCCCTCTACGTTGGGGATGCAATCTGGGAGGCCACGGGCTGGTCTGCATGTGTGGGGCAGGACGGATATTGGAGACCTGACTGAGAGTGGATTGAGTAGGGCCCCAAGCTGACCTCAGCAGTCCAGGGGGTTTGCATCTGCAGACGTGCAGGGCCAGCCCAACCCACTGGCCTGCCAGGTCATCTTCATCCGGGGCCCAGAAACAAAGCCTGGGCCCTGGAATGCTCCAGAAACTGCCATGACTGGGTCCTGCAGATGCACGAACACGCCAGGCACGGTGCCATCTGCACATACTTTGCCTGCTTGGCCTCAGTTTCCCCGTATGTCAAAGGGCATA